CACGAATCCTTGCTTATATATATGTGTGTGTGTGTAGAGATAGATAGATAGATAGATAGATAGATAGATAGATAGATGGAGAGAGAGAGTATATTTTATGGAAACATATACGTATGAAGTAATCTCTTTTTCCGTATTTTTAAGCGACAGCATTTAAATAGAATTTTGACTTGTATTCGAGATATGTGTCTTTGGTGAACACGAATCAATCTTTATTATTCGGTGTGCAATATATAGATCGCTCAACAGGAGAGAAAGAAGAAATTCTGATTAAACAGAGTGTGTTAGAAATACCTCCCACATTTAAGAGGTTGACAAAAGACCAGGGTAACTGCTACAAAAAAAAAAAAAATTCACGGTTGTTTCAACACATTGCACTAGTTTTTATTCATTTGGTGTGAAAATGACATCCTCCAAACGGTGGCCTCTATTTGCTATTCGCTGTTTTAGGCGATTTAGTCGACTTCTAAAGTTTTCCAACAGCCGACAGTCATTTCTGGCGGTATTTTAGTCGCATTTTGGCGAATAGAATCCTTTAATTCTTCAGTGGTTGCTGGCCGATGTTTATAGACCTCAGCTTTTAAGTACCCCCCCCCAAAAAAAAAAATTAAACGCAGGGAGCGAGATCGGGTGAGTGTGCTGGCCATACAATAACACCGCGTAAAGAAATCAAATGTCCTGGAAACATCTTTCTTAAAACGTCTGTTGATCTTCATACTGTGTGTGCCGTAGCTCCATCCTATTGAAATCACACATCCGGACTACAAATGTCTTTTGGTTTTCCTCATGGAAAGGTCCACATCATCTCCACATACCGGTCACATGTTACTGTAAATGTGTGATCTCCTTTCTCAAAATGTAGGGACCCTATAGACAAAAATTCACAACTGCGCACTACACACTAATTTGTTCACTGTTTAGTGTTCTTTCATGAAGGTGTCTGGGGTTATTCTCAGCCAAACTTGTGAAACTTTTGTTTTTAATGCAGCCAGAGAGATGTGAGGACGCCATTTGCAGAAAGATTTCGTCACGGCACGCAATGAAATTTCTCAAGACGCATTCCTGCAGTTCCTAAACAATCATTAATTTCAATGGGTCAGTTTGTAAAATTCCTCTGACTAATCGATCATACAGTCCCAAAGCAGAAACGTGTTTACGAGGTGGAATTGTAGCAAAATTCAGAACAGACTCACAAACTAGCCTCTTTCTGGAGATACAGTGCTCTGAGGTTTTCCAGTTTGCTTTCCTTTAAAATCTGAACCTTTGGTTCTGAGAATTTTAACTCATGGCAGTATCGATTTTCTATCCGGAATACCACAAAAACCATATTATGCTGTAATTACACATTCACAGGCCTTAAGAAACGTTTCAACGGCAAACACTCGATATATACTGGTTCAAGCTATTATAGTAACTGATGGTATCTGAAAAAAAAGACATAAGCGAGATGAAAACACCATTTCGACTTGCTTAACTTCACTAGCACCACACAAGAGACAGTTTAAAATTGGAGATATATTTCTGTCACACTTTTGTCATACATACATACATATATGAGGATCTCAGAAAGAGATGGGAAAATATGCATCAATTTCCAAGAGGATAAAATCCAGGTAGAACTCAATGCCCAGGACAGACTAAGAATATAATATAAAAGCTCAAACTCTAATATTCCATGGTTATAGTTGTGAAGAAAAGGAAAGAGGAAGAGAGAAGGGGTTACTTACGGACGGGTTGCTTCAGCCTCGGAGGAATTGTGTCCAGCTAAACTGGAACCAAATGACCAACTGATATTTATGGTCTTGGTCGGAGGAGGATTGTGGGAAGCAGTTAGCCTCCTTATAAAAACCCTCCTCTGTATTCTGATGAGACCTATTTTCTCTATCAGCCGACACGTGACTGGTTATTTGTCGTACTGAAGGATTCTTTCTTCTTTTTTCTTCTCTGTTACTCGACCTAGTTGGAGCAGGTCGCAAGAGGAGGATTCCTTTTGCAACCCTTACCAGGCTGTCGCTGCTCTCTTCTGGGTTTTCCCTACTTTACTGTGTCGAAAGTTTTTTTTTCGACATAGTTTATTACATTTGAATCGTAATCATGATCCAATTCATCAGACCTACAAATTTAAAAAAAATTGAATTTGTAGTTCCGATGAATTGGATCGTGATTACGATTCCAATGTATATATGTCTATATATATATTTATATATATATATATATATATATATATATATATATATATATATATATATATATATATATAAATATAGATAACTAGACTCATTTCGAAAAACCCTCGAATCTCTGATTTGCTAATCAAATCAATCTCGAGGGAAAAAAAGGTTTCAAAAAAAGAAAGAGCCACAAACATGGACCTCTGCCGACAAAAAAATCACACAGATGCAGGTCTGAAGCCCAAAGAAAAAACCCCGATACGAGTAACAACTAACTAACAAAAGAGCTCAAATATGTGTGTTTCTCTTTGCCTCGTTAGCCAAACTTTCCCTGACGATCCGTTTAGGTGAAACCTAGGTAGGTTTGTCTGGCTCACTAGGTGTATCTATATATATATATATATATATATATATATATATATTATGTTTTTTAAATTTGATATCATCGCGACACAGAAATTTTCCAAGTTTCAAAACTGAAACTAAATTTATAAATTTAATTATAAAATTAAACAAAAAAACTATAGTCTTGTTCTAATTTCCAGCGATTCCTAGTATCAATTGGACAGAGACTATAAATTCAGTTTTAGATTTGAAACATGGAAATATTCTGTGTCGCGATGGAATCATATTTTTTAAAGGAAAATAATTATTATATTTTGCTCAACTTTTTTGTATCGAGCACTATTTTAAAAAAAAAAAATACTTAAGAAAACCGATTATATATATATATATATATATATATATATATATATATATATATATATATATATATATATATATATATATATATATATGCACAAAAATATTATTTTATGTGTTATTACATTATATTTTATACATATAATTATATAATTTTCATTAATTCTGCATGTTACTATAAAACATTTAAAATTCAGCAAATACATACTTACAGAAAGGAATATACAAATAATATATATATATATATATATATATATATATATATATATATATATATATATATATATGTCTAGAGGAGTAAAGGGTGTAAAATCGCAGAAAAGAAATCCTCTTGAAACACACCTCTGCAAATCCAAGAATGTCATTTGATCATTGGTGAAATATAATTTTTGTTTGCTTTTAAGCTGAATGAAATAATGTTATAAAGTCCCCGTTTTTAGAATTGCGTTTAGCAAAATAAACGCAAGCATGATTCACAAGGATTTTTTTTACAATACAAAACTTAAGATCAATTATGTTAGTACAGACAGGAGCCTATGTGTGTAATAAAAATAGAGATAGATAGAAAGCGAAAGTTAGAGAAATAGAGATAGAGAGAAATGGAAAGAAATGGAGATAGATATGGAGATGTATATAGTTATAAAAATAGAGACAGAAATAGAGAAATATAGTAATAGAACGAAACAGACACAGAGAGGAATGAAATGAAATAGAGTTAGATGTAGATAGAGTGAAATACTCATGTAGATTTAGAAATATATATAAATAGAGAGACAGAGAAAAATAGATAGATAGATAAACATAGACAAACATAAAAAGGAAGATACAGACATTCAGACAAGCATACATACATACATACATACATACATACATACATACATACATACATACATACATACAAATAAATAGATAGATAGATAGATAGATAGATAGATAGATAGATAAACATAGACAAACATAAAAAGGAAGATACAGACATTCAGACAAGCATACATACATACATACATACATACATACATACATACAAATCGATAGATAGATAGATAGATAGATAGATAGATAGATAAATAAACATAGACAAACATACAAAGGAAGATACAGACATTCAGACAAGCTTACATACATACATACATACATACATACATACATACATACAAATCGATAGATAGATAGATAGATAGATAGATAGATAGATAGATAGATAGATAGATAGATAGATAAACATAGACAAACATAAAAAGGAAGATACAGACAAGCATACATACATACATACATACATACATACATACAGATAGATAGATAGATAGATAGATAGATAGATAGATAGATAGATAGATAGATTCTATGTTAGATATTTTTTACTAAAATTCTCTGGATAAATAATGTCCCAGAAAACCTCGAACGAAACCCAGTTGGCACTGATCATCACTTTTAGAATCCTCGACTCTGAACTGGTCCCGAATAAGGCAAATCGTGTTAGTGGTAAATGTGTAAACATTTCACCCACTCAACACGCGTGTAGAAGGATATTGACGGAACGTAGCATTTAGTGATATGAACTTGAAAATTAAAATTTTATATTCAATGTTTGATTTCTCTCAAACAGTAAAAAATATTTCCCAGGTTAAACGTGCGAATTTTCCTTTGTGCGTCTTATCTCAATTGTTCGTGACATGCGAATTTATTATATTACACGTTTTATAACGAAATCAACGTCCGGACTTGCAATTATGCTATCGCTGATAAATGTGCTGAAAGGAGGAAAAACCTAGAAAATCATTCGTAACTGAGTAAATAATTCGATTATTGATGACTGGTTAGAAACGGGTCAGATTTTGAGGTTAGTCTAAGATTTGATCTTTTCGGTATCAGCAGTTTAAACGATATGGTATAAATCAATTAGAATAATGTTCAGAGAAGAAAGGATCAAAACAGTGAAAAGGCAATTGGGAAAAGAATAAACGATAAAATCAAAACACGAACAAATAAAACGGACAAGCAAAAGGGAGAGAGTGGGAATGAATTACAGAGAAAAATGAATAGAGGAAGAGATGAAAAACTGGGGTGTTTTAAAATTAAAAGGGGCAAAATTTGTAGTCATTCAATTGAAAGAAAGAAAAAGAAGAGTCAGTAGGGAAAAGAAAGAATGAAGATGATATCTAATCGTGAACAAACAAAACAAACGGCGAGAAAGATAGATAGATAGATAGATAGATAGATAGATAGATAGAAAGAGAGAGAGAGAGAGAGAATTACTAAAGAGAGAGAAAGAATGGAGGAAAAGATGAAAAAGCTGGGATATTTTAAAATGAACGTAGACAAAATTTGGGAAAAATTCAAGTAAAATAAAGGAAAAAGAAGAGTAAATAAGGAAAAGAAAGAATGAAAATAATATTTAAACGTGAACAAACAAAACAGACTAGAGAGAAAGAGAGAGAGAGAAAGAATTACTAAAGAGAGAGAAAGAATGGAGGAAAAGATGAAAAAGCTGGGATATTTTAAAATGAACGTAGACAAAATTGGGGAAAAATTCAAGTAAAATGAAGAAAAAAGAAGAGTAAATAAGGAAAAGAAAGAATGAAAATGATATTTAAACGTGAACAAACAAAACAGATGAGAGAGAAAGAGAGAGAGAGAAAGAGAGAGAAAGAAAGAATTACAACAGAGAGAGAAAGAATGGAGGAAAAGTTGAAAAAGCTGGGATATTTTAAAATGAACGTAGACAAAATTTGGGAAAAATTCAAGGGAAAGTAAGAAAAGAGGAAGAAAAACCCAAGTATGAAAAGGCCATGTACTCATTCCTACTGATTCTGATTTAACGAGAGTAAAAACTGAGTAGCGTTATCGCTTAAAGAGAGGTAGGTTTACATCCATTGAAAAATGGAGAGGAGAAAAGAGTATGATTAACAAACAGAAAGAAAAGAGGAGAAAAAAGAAAATTGAAAATATACTCGGGAAATATGGAGAAAATTTATAACTCAAATCAAACGATGGCGACAAAGCAGCATAATAAGCGAGGTAGACGAAATGGTTAATATGTAAAAAAGTATAATACAACAGAAAATTTTGTAAAGAATATTTTAATGTATTTCTTCTAAGACAGAAATGTCTTTAAAATCATTACTTAAAATTTTGATAAAAATGTAATAATCCTATAATCTTTATGTGTAAAGAGAATATATTTGTTTAAGAAGACTAGTAATGTCTTCGTTATTCTTTGGGTGACTGATTTGATTTCAGCTTCAACACTTATTCACTGTGACTCAACAAGTTCATTATGCAAATACTTTGCGAGTTATTTTTCAACAATTGAGAGCAAATGAAAAATGCACATCACAAAGATTCTTCCATTCATAAATCTTTGTAATAAAGATCCACTTCTGATATAAAAAGCGGAAATAAGATTAAAATTTATTTTCTTTTTACGTAAGTTTACAAGATATAAGACTTTCGATAAATATAGACACAATTTTCAGTCTATCTATCTATCTATCTATCTATCTATCTATCTATCTATCTATCTATCTCTCTCTCTCTCTCTCTATATATATATATATATATATATATATATATATATATATATATATATATATATATATATATATATATATATTGCGTGCGTGAATGGGTGTATAACTTTTCAGGAAACTATGCAAACCTTAAATATTAAAAAAAGTCAAATAAGATACACGAGAAATCCACTGAAAAATAAATTTTACCGTTGACTTATCATACATATCCCTAATATATCTAATAGCTGAAAACTAGTAAGAATTATAAAAGCTCTTTATATTATGAAAAGCAACACACTACTAATAAAATATGCTGAAATGCTGGAGTTCATAAGTTAAATGTCTGTCAAGCAATATTTCTCGTTGCCTTTTGACACAGAAAGAGACAAGGAAATTACGAAAAGAGAAATAACCACGAAATTGTACACATGTGCACATGCAAACACGTATAAGCGTACACACATACATACGGGTACACACACACAAAAAGAAGAAAAAATCAACCTAACACCAATAAAAAGTGCATGAAATATTTTTTAAATTTAATATGAAAAAAATGAAATGAGAAAATGGACAGACATTTGATGATATCGCCTGACCAGTGGCCCGAACGATTACAAAGCAAAACGATTACAAAACAAAACTACAATAACTCTGTAGCTAAGTGACAAATTTTATATCACATCGATATTCCCATATATATACAAGGATGACGATATTAACTCTCGATATAAAAATTTAATCGGTCAGGCATTGTGTGGAATAAGGAACGAATTTGTAAACAATCACTATTACTGCTGATAATGCAAGACTCCCCCATTTCTCTGAGTGACTGGTGTGTTTATGAAAAAATAAATACGCAAAAATTCGCCTATCTCTCTGCCTGGCGTCGATGGTCTCCAGCTGATAGCAAATAGGTCGGGTTTCCGTCCCGGCCTGAATCGATCGGATATCTAATGTTATTAATGTAACAGCATCATTTGCGGAATCATAGAGAGGACTCTTTTTTTTTCTTAAATATGCTGAGATTTTCTCAAGTTTTGAAAATATTTGGATAGTTTTTATTTATTTCTTGTTTAAATATATTTTTAATTAATGAGATGGGTCGAAAGATTTGTTTATAATAAATATGCCTGCGTCTATCAGTCAGTTATGTACGATACTTGATAAACGTTTAGGCGAACATATATCTTTCGATACATGACTGACGAGGCAGATGTTTTCCCACAGTAAAATTTGACATTTCTTTTTGCGGTAGACCAGTTACCATGCAAGGCTATAGAACTCAGTCTGTCTTGCTTTTTACCCATAGCTTAGAAGTTGATTGATACCTTTCCCAAGTGAATGTAATGGATTTGATTGGAATTCGAACTCGGCTCTCCGATTCCTCAGTCCTAGCCGCTATCCATAGAAGAGGCACGGTGGAGTAATATATACTGTGCTTGCGTCTATATCAAAGTTTAAAAAAAATATATATGCAATGAAATCCTCGTCTGAAGAGCATCTAAAAATATTCTCATCGATCATGAATGGAAATATTCTGAATCTATCACTAACAGGTGACATCTTCATTTTCTTCTGAACTTTCTGAAGCTACGAAAGCAATCCTGTTTATGGATAAAAAAAAACAACATAAAATTAAATGTTAACTGAAAGAGGAATTGTGTGTGTTAACAAATCAAGTATAACAATTTCCTACGACTAGACCATTGACATATTAAACTTTCAGTAAAATATTTGAGCAGGAGTCCTTCGAAAATAACGTGAAATACACGTATAGTATGTATGATTAAATAAGATTTGTCAAAACCAATCTGATTGTTTTAGGAGTTTTTTTTGTGTGTGTCGCTTCATTGAAAAAATAATTGCAGTGTTTTCAAAGAAAATTATTACCACTGCCCCCCCCACCACCACCACACCCGCGGGATGAGATTAAAATAATAGAAAGAAAACATAACTAGAAAATGCGAAAACTTATGGACTCAGTACATATGCTAGGCCAAAAATAATCTTCTAAGCTGACCAAGCATAGGCATGAATACAATATAGGAATCAGTAATACAAAGTGCCAGAGAAAAGTAATAATAATAACAAAATTGCAATATGAGCTCTGGTAAAAACGTTAACTAAGACATTAAGTACGCAAAAATTCATACACTGACATCCGCAAAGACATCTGGCCCAGTGAATAAAAACGTTGGTTGGATCCAGTGACTTGTCCAAAAAGAGTAATTCGTTCAGGGTTAACAAAAACTTGGAGAGTTGAGTTAAAGGTAGATAACTGTGACATCCGGAAGAGGCATGGCACGTGGAACTACAACAGTTTACCCCGGTGGATGAAATAAGCGTTTCAATTTGAAATTCCAATCGCCCGAAGAAAGGTCATGAATATGGCAATAAACATGGGGAGAACAGTCCAAACTATGTAAATAAAATTATTTTGAGATATACCCTTTGCTTTGAGAGAAGTACATCTCTGATTATTTGAAAAAGATAAGAATATCTGATTATTTATCATTCAGTATAGGAGATAAGAATATTATACACAGATTAGGCTGTACTAATGGGCTTTTCTTTCAACACGTTAATTTGCCCCGAAACCAACACATTAAATTAGAGTCTACAGTCATTACCACAGCAACGATGGCCAAACTGGAAAGGATATGGAAGAGCAACAACAACGTCCAGACAAAATCGCTGGTCGTATCCATCCCCCTTTAAAAGTATGATACTTGAGCACTCCTGACAGAGAGAGAAAAAAAATTTAGGCATTCGATTACAAATACTTTGGGAAGCTCACCTGGGTCACAAAACCAGGGACTCTGTACGGAGAATGGTCATGAGTCTCGTGACCCGACAGGAATGTCTATTATTCATCGGAGAGTGCATTATAGCCTCTGCAAGACTATCATGCAAGGCACTGTTGAAAGCAGACGTAGGCGAAGACGGCAACTCAAGTGCTGCACAAAGAGTGGACGGATATGAGAATGCCGGGACTCCTAAGAGCCATAGCAAACAGACCAACCAAGAGCAGGATGTTTGTTTTTTCTATCCTCAAACGATTGAAGCAATCGACGGACTGATGACGATAATGATAACTGTCATGTTCTTAAATTGTTTCGTTTAATCGAAACTTTCATATTCATGCATGGCGTCAAACAGCTTTCTCAGATCGATGGTTAAAAATGGATTCGTGCGAGTGAAGCATATTGATCTCACCGAGACTTTGCATTTCGTTATAGAATAATAAACAACTGCACCAAAATAACAGAAACTATATCATATGAGGACATGGAACAGCAGCCAAAATAAAATAAATTGCACATATAAATAGAAGAAAGAATAATGCTATAATCAAGATGCTGGCGTTCCAGACTACCTAAAATATAAGCCAAGGAAGGAAGCCGCCATCAATACTGGGATGAGCGATAACAGGTACATGACTTGAGAAATATATTTTTCTGTTTTCAAAGAAAGTTTTGAAAGCTTCACGGTCAATGAATGCTGAATATTTCCTTATAGTGAAACGGCTAATATTACCATTTTGTCAGTCAAAATAGTCAACAATTATCCATTTACAAACGAGTTATGTCTAAATTTCCGGCAGTTTTTAATAACATGTACTTCGCGGTCTTTATCGAAGTTGTCGAACAATCGTGAGAACTTTCTGTAAAGGTGTGGAGTTATTCAGGTGGAAGTGACGTCATTAAGTGAGTGTGTACATTATGAGAGTCACATTATCAATGACGTTATTTTTCTTGCCAGTGCATCTCGTCTCCAAATAATCACATCGCCTCTCCAATGAAGACTCGACTATCAGAGAATTCTGACTTATTCTGGCCTAAATCGTCGTTGAAACCTTTATTTGTGGGTCGCGAACAGTGCTTTATGTCCCTCGCTATCTTATCAACAGTTGATTTTTTTCTACGTACATTTATATACGTTACAAATTAAACTAAACTAAGCATAACTGACTATTAAAGGATAAAAAAAGATCGAGTATTTTGGCATCATTCTGCGGGAAATGGGTCAAAATTGTTTGTTTTTTTTCAAGTTGAGTCTCGAATAAACACTATAAAATTACCATTTTTATCCCTAATGTTGAATGTGTTAAAATTATTCAACTCTTTAAGAATAAATATCTCAAACTGATGTTTAAAATTGCTGCAAAATATTGTTGCTTTATTTAAGCTGGAATGATTTATTATGACATGTCTCTAGGGTTTTATTTAGAGACATTGTATTTATTTTCAATTTTACGAGTTCTTCCCTTATATTTCATAGAAT